CCGATTTCTGATGTATGCCAATCGGCTAGGCTGATTTTTGATAATTTGCCGATTTTAGACCGATTTTAGGCCGATTTTCGCATGTCCGATTTTTTTGATTTCGACCAGTGATACCTCATCGCTAGAATCTAGCATATATATATCCAATTCCTAAACTGAAACTATGAGAATAAGACCTGAACAACACTCGCTTAATCACCTTGTTAGAAAGCGCTAAGAAAGTATTTATTCAACTACTCAACTCAAGACTTACTAACATTTTTATATAACATAGTATTCTTAAAGGATACAATTTTGCAGGCTTGCCATTCAAATCTACTTTTGATCCTATTCATATCTTTGACAACATCAAGCAAAATTCCCTTTACAATAACACTGAGTTGTAGGTCCTCTTACAAGATATATCTAAAGCATACCACCATATGAATATCTTTACTCTTACCGTAGCTCTTGCAAGATTATGCTTTCCTGCTAAATTCATTCACACAATTTTGCAATTATTTCTCCTCAGATTCAACCAATTTTTCACTGCACATGGAAATTCTGATACATACTTAGTTCATTCAGGAATTGATCAAGGAGAAGTTATATCACCACTTTTATGATGTATTTACGATGATCCGCTTTTATGCGCAATTAACAATTCTCTACATAGTTTCATTACAGAAGTTGAATAGCATCCTGATGCCCGTCTTTCTGTGTCTAATACATTTCGTTTAAAAATTCCAGCCCTCGTATACATGGATGATACTCTTTGGCTCGCTAAATCCAGGGAGAACCTTACAAATATTACATCTATTGTAAACAATTTCTTCACCTTTAACGATATACAAATAAACTAGTCAAAATCAGAACTCTTGGTCAACACTTTACAGTAATGTCCTTTTGAAATCAGTCATAATAATATTACATATTCGATCAATGCTCTTTCTCTGAAAGCTAGTGTCAGATACTTAGGTGTTTAGATCTCACTTAAGTCTAATAAAACTTTATTTACAATTAAATTCACAATGAAATTAAGAAGGCTATTACCATTATGAAACATAAACGCCTTACAGACTCACAGCTGATTTACATTTTTAATACCATTCTCCTTCTAAGAATTGAGTACAGGTCTCAACTTACATTGCCATCTAAATCACAATGCAAAAGCTTTGTCACTACTTACTTAGCCTTTGTAAAAAGAAAATTGAAATTATCCCGACATACTCCAACGGACTTATTCTATTCGCATTACTTTTATAATTTAACTTCGCTATATTAACGTTTGATCCAAAATTTCAATAATGCTCTTCTATAGATGTCCAATGAAATGAACGTATTTGAAAGATTCTTTTATCTATGTATCCTTCAACTTCAACAAAATGAATAGCTCTTTGATAATCCTCTTGTCTATTGACCTTTTTTGAAAATAATATGAACTGATGATTGGCTTTCCTCCTTCCTTTGTGACCTAAACTAAATGAAGCTCAAACTTAATGTACCTCTAGTTTTGTCAAACAGAATCCTAGGAGGGATTTCCCTAATTTCAGAATTCATACTTAATAATTATAGGAAGCATGCTACTAGTATTAAGCCTAAACACTACGTCGTTAGGATAACAAAGCTTATTTGCTAACAAAGAGTTTAAGTCGTAAACTATGAAAGAAATAAACACGAATTTATTTAAGTTGAAGGGTCAGGTCATCTTTATTGATGATTTATGTTTTAAGGAAATAGATATTAGCAAAGATATAGTTTTTATGTTAAGATTATATTTTATTGATTATACAATAGAAACTTATTATTTTATCAAGACGACAATATAGATATTTATATAAAATACAATTATAATAAAGAGATAATAAATATAATAGTGAAAATAAATATAATTATGATAATAAAAATAGTAAATAAAATAATAATAAACATAATAATAAAGAAAATAAATATCACAATGATAACTGTGATAGCAGTGAAATTGGTGAAAATGATAATCATGATTTTCTTAGTGATCATTGGTAACATTAATTGGCGTAGTCATTTTAGTGATGCAAATGGGTTATCACTAATAATGTGAATATTTTTTAAGCTTATAAACACTTAATAAAAAAAAAATAAAAAATGGAAAAATAAATGTATGCTTCATTTCTCATTTTTCATTTCTATATATACTAATTGAATTTTAAATTTAACTTAAAGTATTAGTCTGTAAACTTTCATTGCAAGATCATAATTATGATCAAAATTAGCAAATGGTGGTTGTCCAGACAATCATACCAATACTATATATATCTGATACAAAACTACATTTTTTTTCCAGAATAACCTTGGGTATTATGTAAGGAAGATTTCCGTATATGCTTCTTAATAATTTATCAACAGGTCTATAAAATCCGAAATCCAATATACCAATTACCAGAATACTTCAAGTATAATATATTTTCCAAATGCAAATCACTACGAATTGCATTCTCATTATGAAGGAAATAAATATTTTAATTATATTATAAATAATAAAGATTCTTTTAATCCATGTAAGTTGGTTATGATTTTGTTGTAAATATTTCCTTAAATCCATATCTAATAAATGAATTACAAGAAAATAATCTTTTGATAATGGTTCCTGAATAACACCATAACATTGAGCATATTCTGACAATTTACTGCTTAATGTTAAATAAGATTATATTTATAAATAGAATGAATAAATTAATAATTTAATAATAACAGATTTTTTAAAAAAGTTTGTACCTCATAAAACCATCTTCTTTTAGCATTTTCAACATTTTCCAACCTTTTAAGTATTATTGTTTTTGTTCCACCTCTTTTTAATTGCTGTATGTCAGAGTCCTATTGATAATAATGCCTATCAATTTAATCTGCCATATAAATTTTAGAATATCCACCTTTAGTTAAATATTTTATATTTTGCAAATTATTGTGTGATCCATTCAACTATAAAAGGATGAATTATTTCCATTAAATTATCAATATCATCATTTCTGGACGTCCAATTTGAAAATTTTGCTTTTAAATAATTTTGAATACAAAGTTCATAATATGATATTGCGAAACATTTTTGTTGACAGTTTTCACAAATTCTATTCTCTCCTTCATTATAATAAGTTTTTATTATCATTATATTTGACAGTCAACATTCTCAATACCTCTGATTTTTCATCTTCTGTAAGTGATTTATCAGCTGTAATTGCTTTTTGTCTCAATTCGTACCTTTTGTCTATGTCATCATTATATATCAAATTAAATACTTTATTGAATATTTTAGACATAATAGCAACAAAATAAGAAGGTTTTTCTCAGTACAAAAAAAATTTATTGTACTCCATAAATTTTTCTAAATAATCATGACCAACGTAAATTTAGTATTACAATATATCTTTAATTATCATTATTTTATGCATTTGTTGTGTTAAATAGATATGCTAAGATAATATAGATAATATAAAAGTGAGACTTTAACTACAATTTGCACAATTTATAATAATATATTCATAATACACATTCTTGAAATATATTGAAAAAAACATTAATTTATACATAACTAAAAAGTAACACCTAACGTTATAACAAATCTACAAGTCAAATCATTTATGAATTTGAGGTGTTGAAGTTGTGATCTGTGACTGTGCTAAAATAAAGTCATATGATTTAAATGATCGACATAATTGACAAAGTTGACAAAGTTGACAGAGTTACTAAAATTGTCAATGTTGATCAAGTGAACATATTAGATATATGATTATATTTATTATATTTATTAATTATATTTTATTTATTATATTTATTATATTTATTAATTATATTTTATTTATTATATATATTATATTTATCATAGTTATATTATTTGTTTTCTTTATTATATTTGTTATAGTTGATTTTATATTATTTTATTTTATATAAATATCTTGTATTTTCCCTTGAGTTGAAAAGTAACTCAAGTTAAGGTTTTAGGATAAACCAAGAGTTCAATAAAGGAATTGTTAAATTTATTTACTATTGCCTTTTATCGTATCTTCATATAGGCGTGATTGTGATATTATCTTGTATTTAATTTGATAGATTGAATTAAAAAGTTTATCGTTTAAGTTTACAGATACTAAGCCAACAAAAGTAGTGATTCCTGCTAGAACTTCCAGCTTTTAGTGGATGAATTTTGATCTTTATCTTACACTACAATGAAATTATATTCAACAATACTCTGAGAATAGAAGTTACTTATCAACTGACTACACTTATATAATTTGCTATCCACCTCTAGAAGAAGTATCTTTACCATTCAAACATTTTTAGAATTGGATTAGTGCTGAATTTGGTGCTCTTGTATATACTGGAAAAGCAGTAACTTTGTTTGATCAGTATCGACAAAATTTTAATAAATTATAGCTCATTAAAACTCTGAAAAGAGAAGCCAAATTAATGTTATATAGTTTAACCTTTGTTAACCCTTTTGATTTTGGATTTGATTTTGACTTCATTGCTATTAATATATTAGAAGAATCTTATTATTCAGTCAACTTTAAACACCTTATAGCAACTGAATTATAATCTTTAGTACTCTCTCATTAGAACTCTCAAGAAGAAACATAATGGATACAGACCAATTTAATACCTTCATTACCCAGTATTAGTGATAACCCATTTGCATCATTAAATGACTGTACCAATTAATATCACCAATGATTACTAGGAAAATCGTAATCATTATTTTTACTGATTTCACTACTATCACAGTTATTGTTGTGATATTTATTTTCATTATTATTATGTTTATTATTATTTTATTTATTATCTTTATTATCATAGTTATATTTACTTTCATTATTATATTTATTATCTCTTTCTTATAATTGTATTTTATATAAATATCCTGTATTATCGCTTTGACAAAATAAAAGTTTCTATTATACAATTAATAAAGTATAATCTTAACAACATAAAAACTATATTATTTTCAATATCTATTTCCTTAAAATATAAATCATCAATAAAGATGACCTGACCCTTCAACATAAATAAATTCATGTTTATTTCTTTCATAGTTTACAACTTAAACTTCCTATTAGCAAATAAGCTTTGTTATCCTAATGATGTAGTGTTTAGGCTTAACACTAGCTTACAAATTCTATCAATCAACTCACTCAAGAAGTCCAAAACAGATTTCCATACTAGCACCGAAGAGAGAAACTAATTAAGTTCAGTAAAACGTTTTTCAGGAAAAAGTGAAGAGGATCTATCTGATTAGATTACCCATTTTGAGAAAGCTGCAAAAGCTAACAACTGAAATAATGAACAAATAGTTGAAATTGCTGAAGGATTCCTTGATTATATAACTGCTGATTGGTACAAGGATACTACATTTGCTCAAAGATGAAGTGTTGCAGCTGATGAAGATGGTACTGAAATCTTTGTGTTTAAATTTATAAACCATTTCTCTATGATTGAACAACAAAACAAATAGCATTATAGATTCAATGATATTCTTTAAGGAAGGAATGAAAAAGTAGAATTATACTCTAATATATTTAAAAGATTAATGAAAAAAGGTAGACCCTGATAGTAATCTACCTAAACCGTATATCATTAGATTATTTCTAAAAGAATTAAAAAAGAACTTAATGTGATATATTGCTACTAGTAAACCTACAAATATTAATGAAGCAATTCAAGAGACTATCGACTATGAAGCTGGAGTTTATTTGAAAAATAAGCTGAAAGACAGGAACGTCAAGTAGATTGAAAAGTTAGAGCTCCCACTGATGATACTCTTAAAGCTTTAATGAAACAAATAGAAAAGTTAACTCTTAACTATGCTAATATAGTTTCAACCTTAAATGTTCAAACCTAAATAAGACCTAAAGTCACAAGATAAAAATCAGATAAATCCCAAATTACTTGTTTTAATTATCAAAAGAAAAGTAACTACTCTAGGAAATGTGACTTGCCCCCTAAAAAAAGAAAAGATGCAAATATAATCGAAGTTTATTCTGACCTTGATTCAGAAGATAAAGAAGAAAATTATGAAGAAGTTTATGCTACTTCAAGAATAAAGATCACTTCATATACTACTAATAGGAGAGAGACTAAAGAGAAAAGTAAAATGATGTTTAAATTTCAACAAAAAATAAGGTTAAGATATAGAAATATAAGTAAATCAATTTCTCTTACTACTTTGATGAATATTGAAGAAGGAAATTTAACTCCAAAGGTTAAGAAACTTCAAAGAAAAATACCACGTACCCCTCTGCTATTGACCAATTAGCTTTTTATAATGTCACTGAAGATATTTTAAATTTACTTTCATCTGCAAAACTTGGATAATAGTTAAAATATCCAGACCAAAGGAGAAATTTAGCTAATACTTTAAAAAGAGTTATCATTAAAGAAACCAATAATGTTGACTTTAATGATGAATATATGAGTAACAACAATAATACTCCTACAACTGCAGTCAGATATACTATTCAAATTCATCATAATAATGTACAAGCTATTCTTGACTCTGGTGTAGCTATCAGTTTTATTACAAGTAGTTTAGTCAAATGACTTAAATTAAAGATTGATGAACTATCAAAAATAATCATTAATACTGCCAATAGAAAAAGAGCTAGAGCTTTAGGAAAAATTAATACTATCAAAATGACTATTGGATCTATTCATATACTGATAACTCTATAAGTCATTGAATCTCCTGATGAGAATTTACTATTAGGAACTGATTGGTTTAAAGAACTAAAGCTATTCTTGATTTTGATGAAAAAAAAGTGAAGTTTAGATATCTTACGAAATCTGCCTCTATTCTAATTACTTTTTATAACAGTTCTCTGTTAAATTGGATGAAGAATCTGATGCATCTATAGATGAACTAATCGATATAATAGAAGATTTAACTTATAATGACCAATATTAAAAAGAAGATCTTGATAAACGAGATATCTTTTATTTTAATAGTAAAAAAGACTTCTCTAACAAAGAAAATTTATTTGACTTTGATGAAAATGAGCTATTTACTAACACTTAGGATGACAATTCAGCGGTATTTTTAGCTCAAGCTGAACAGCTAAAGTCTCAAAATAATAAATGGAGTATTCAAGAAGATTTACATGTTGAACCCTTGGATGTTAATTAACAAGAAATTTTTGAACAATTTGTTGAAGAGAATAAAGATATTTGTATCCTTAGTCAAACAAAAATTGGACATACAACTTTGTTTCAATATCAAATTCCTACAGGGGATCATACACCAATTGCTGGCCTTGCATACCATCTGAAAAATCTATCTAAATTGAAAGAAATTAAACAAATGAAAGAAAATGATATTATCCAAAGTCAAAAAGCCTTTAGGCTTTCCAGTCATTATTGTATCTAAGAAAACTGGAGATGCACGCTTTTGTATTGATTATAGAAAACTTAATGCTATAACTAAAGGAGATGCTTATCCCTTTCCACTCATTGACGATTGCTTGAGAAATTTAAAAATGCAAGTTGGTTTTCTACACTTGATCTTACTAGTAGATATTAGCAAGTAAAAATGAAAAAGATTGATCATGAAAAAACTGCTTTTATTGCCCATATAGTCTGTACGAATTCAAAAGAATGCTTTTTGAATTAAAGAATGCTCCTGGAACTTTTCAACGTTTAATGAATTTTGTCTTACAAGAATACCTTTATAAGTTTGTAGCAATATACTTAGATGATATTATCATTTATTCAAAAACTTATGAGGAATATCTACAACATTTGCAAATGGTATTTGAAGCAATCAGAAAGGCAAATTTAATGATTAAATTGAAAAAGTATTAATTTTGCCTTCCAAATATTCCGTTCATTGGACATATATTAGAAAGAAGTAGTTTGCAACCAGATTCTGAAAAAATTTGAAAAATCAAAGAACTTCCAGTACCTAAAGGATTAACTGAATTAAGAGCAGCCTTTGGATTGTTCTCATACTATCGAAAGTTTGTGAAAAGATTCTCTCAAATTGCTAAACTAATAACAATCTTACTAAAGAAAGATACCCCTTATATTTAGACAAACAATATAACTATGATAAATATAATATATATAATAAATAAGATAAAATTAATAAATATAATAAATATAATCTATATATCTAATATGTCCACTTGATCAACATTGATAACTTTAGCAACTTTGTTAACTTCGTCAACTTTGTTAACTATATTAATCATTTAGATCATATGACTTTATTTTAGTGCAGTCACAGATCACAACTTCAACGGGCAACATTGATCTTTAGAATTACTAATTACTTACTACCAATCATTTAAATCATAAGAAATTCGAATTTTATAGAAAAAATTTAAATTTTATAATTTTCATAAAATTTGATTATAAAAATCAATAAAAAAATTATCAGATTTATAATTAAGAAAAGGATAATATAAATTTTTGTAATAATAGAAGTTACATTAAATATTTCTAAAATTTTAAGTATCCACTCAACAAAAAACTTTCTTCTCTATTAAAACAAATTTTTAAGCACAAAATGTTAAAACAAATTTTATTGTTTGTATGTAATGCTTTTTTATTTTAGATGATATTAAAATATTATTTTTATTGATCAATACTTCAAATACTTTTCTAGTACTATTATTTGATAATAATAACAATAATTACAAAAGTTGCAAATACTATAATCCTAAGTTTACAATGTTTATACTTAATGTGTTAATTATTTAGTCTAGAATACATACGTCTCTAGATATTTGAGTTAAAGGTTAGAACTGATTATAACAATTTGGTTTTAAATTCAGATCTAACTGATTTTAAATAAATCCAGTTTCAAATTTAGAGTGATGCAAAATGGTTGTGATATAAACTGAATGCAGATCTGGTTTTTGATTTATTAAAAATAATTTAAAATTAATAAAAAAATCCATATTTAATCTCGCATAAGTTTTTCTCATACAATTATTTTTTCTTTTAATTAGAAATCTGAATCGATCAAAAATTTTGTAATCATTAATAATCGTTCATAAAATTTATAATCAATTATTATTCAAATTAATTGTTTATTCATTAATTAAAACTAAAAAAATATTTTAAACTTATTTTTATTATTAACAATGATAACAAATTATATTGATTTTTATTATAATATTATATTTTACTAATTATTATAATCAGATTTCTTCTGGAGGAAATATATCTAAAACTTTTATATTTTGTTTCAAAAAATATCATACAATAAAGTAAATTTGGATCAAGATGTATACGTCAGATTGAAATATGATTTTCTGTGTTTAAAAATAAGCATTCATTTAAAACAGATATAGTAGTTATAGGAAGATATTTTCACGCTAATTCAGATAAATTTAGAAAATCCATTTTTCATTTATTCTACCATTCACCTGAATCAGTATTATATTCAACACACTTTATATTACTGTATTAACTATTTCATTATTTATTTTGTCACTAGCAACTGTATTTAAAAAATTTTTTTAAAAAGTATATTTTGTGATTGAAATTTTTGTGTTGTAATTAAATCATTTAATTAATAAAAAATTAAATAGTTAAAATATATGCTATTATTTTTTAAAAAATAAATTAATTACTTATTTATCATTAGTTATATTATTATCTGACATATTATTAATATTTAAATTTTCATTTGACGAAACTGACAAAGTTGTTAGAAATGATGATTCAATCATCTCTTACAATTCATTATGAAGAATTTCTTCAATTTTAAGCTTCTCTTCTCTTGTAGTAAATAATAAATTTTTAAACTTCAGATCCAAATATGAAACTTTAAGACTAATTTCGGAAGGTATATCCCAATATTTGTCTAAAGCTTGTGAAATTATAGATTTAACTTATTCAATTATTTCTTCTATAAACATAGGTTAATTAATATTAATTCGATGAAGTGTAATAGGATTGACTATCTCATCAATATTATTTTCTGATTCTTCAAAATAATCTTCCTCTTTTTCTTCATTATCCAAAATAGTTGTATTATTTGTAAGATCAATATTTTCAGTATTATTATTATTATCTGAAAAACGATTTTTTAATTTTGAAATTATAGAATATATTAAGCTAAGTGTAACATAATTGCTTCCTCTTAAAATTGTGATTACCTCTTCTAATACTAAGTAAATAAACTAAATTTTTCATAAAAATCCATTCTTCATCAAAAAGGTTAAATTTTTTTAATTAACAGTATTACAGGAATAATTAATCGAATAATAATTTGTTAGATTATAAATGTTGAGAAAGTAATTTATTAGATAAGAAAATAATGATTATATAGAATAATATATTGATTAAAAGCATCGTAAATTATATGATTAGGTATAGTATATGTTTGTAGAACAAATATGATTAGAATAGACAAATGATGTAATTAGTTAAATAATGTAATTAGCCAAATATTTGTAATTAACTGTATTTAGAATATAATAGATGGAATACAGAAGACAAAAGATGAAATACTGAAAAATAGAAACAGAAAATAAAAATATTGGTAGGAATAATAAAGATATAGACGAAGAATATATACGGATAATTACAGATGATAAATAGTTCAGAATTAGTTAGTTATACTATGACTACAATAATCTTTATAAAAATGGCTTATTTTCAGCCAGGTTTTGGGATCTTCAGTTAGTTTTAATCAATGGTTTTTTAGAAAATTTGAAGGGAATTAGAAAATTATTATCTTTAATAAAAACAACCCTTATTTATAATTATTTTTACTTGTATTTCTTAAGGAATCAACAGTTAAAGATGGGTTTAATAAACTGAAAGGAATAATATAATTCATCCTAATTCCAAGTAAGCTTATTAACTTGTATCTTATTATTTGATATCCTTGGGGATCATTAAGTATTATAGTATTATGAGTAATTAAATTAAATAAATAAACTAAGTGTAATATTTGTGATACATGCTTTGAGAATTCAAAAAGGTAGTCTTTGGCAAGATATATTTTTGAAAGAATTTCACAAAATCAACCATGTGAAAAAAGAAAGACTTTAAAAGAAATTATCTGAAAGACTACAAAGAATTTGAAGGGGATAAAGAATTTACAATTCATAAAGTTAACTGTGCTTATGTTGTCAAAAATCTTTCATTGAAAAAGATACCAATATAATGCATTGGGATAGTATTCAGATGTATGATAGAGGTTGTTTTACAGTGTGTAACGAAAAAAATGGCGGTTGATAAAATAATATTTTTTTACAAATAAAACATAAAATTTATAATGTCGATCATAAACAAATCATTAATTTAATATTTCCAAATTTAGAAAAACGCGTTTTTAAAAGTAAATTTTTTTTATTTTTGTTTATTTTTATGCTATTTTCTTTGCAACGATGGTTAATACAAGATTAGAAGCTCAAAGTCAAACAATTCGACATTACTGGCTTAATAGTATTAATTCAACAAAGGAAATACAAAAAAAAACTGGTATTCTCTTTCGTACTATTGAGAGCATGACTGAATTTCTTTATGATTGGCCACTATTTTGATAAACAACACTAACTGTGATTGGTTAGAATTTTTCACG